TATAAGGCAGTCGGTGCGCCAGACCTCAGCCCACCGCGCCCTGGTAACACCGCGTCAGCCACCAATCAACTGGTGCATGGGAGAGGGAAGGGTGTGGTGATACGGGAAAATACTTCCCCATGGCAGATTAGCGCGCTCCTCGCTAAAATAAACCTGACACACGTGAATATATCAAGACGCAATAAGAGTGGTGGCTGGGAACGCTGTCAAATGGAGAGATAATTTGGTTTTTCGTAAGACTGAGACTCGTGCTACAGTGGTTACTTTTAACGTGATTTTTAGGGCACTCTTATTTAATCTTATTGAGAACACTAAATTGTCAAAGAGCAATACAATATGATCACCAGCCCCACCGGTGGGAGGCTTTGTAGATCCTCCCGAGACAAGGGGTGTGGTTCCTGACCGGCGTTGTAGTTCAATCATACTTTTTTCCTCGGAAACTTTACGAATGAACCGACTTGATTATCGAAATCTTTAACTCGAGATATTACATCCAGTCGGTCCTCACAGCTTGACACTAGCAAAGAGATATTTCCGGAGTAGTCGAAATCGGTCAGCCGGCACCCGCGTACATATATACATCTGTTAAAACAGTTCAGTTTTCCCAAAATATAGCTAGCGGCCTAATTAAATAGGATAGGCGACGATGTGCAGGAAAGGTTAAGTAAATCGGACTATACAGCGAAGTCAAAAAAGAGGGCAATTGCTGATTGTCAGGACAGAAGTGGGATACACACCTCACTGTGAACCTTTAGTTTAAGCATTTGCATTCAGCTAATGGTGCAACTTGATCGAATCTAATCTGTAAGTAAGGTAAATTTTTATATACTTGGGGGAACAGCAAATATAACTATCCCCTTTCTAGAACAAACGCAAGGACGACTGAACGCCGGTTAGTAAAAACAATATCAGTTTCCCAAGTTCTTTTCAACCATACCAAGGAGTCAGGGCGCCAAAGGATCCACTCGGGAGTTATATTCATTTGCTGCGTCGGCAATTTTTCCCTGTGAGTCACACGAGGATGCATAGGCCAGGGAAGGATTAATATCTGCTCCTGGGAATAGAGATAGTGACTGATTGTTCGTAAATAATAATGCCTTCGAAGAGCGCATTTCAATGCTCAGGTTTGGCCGAGTTGTCAGCGATAAGTACCATCGTCAACACCTACTCACTTGAGGGCAAATTATCACTAACGGGGCAAATGAGCTAACACAGGCTTCAGGCGCTATTGGTTCTTGAGGCGTGTTGCATAGACAATGTAACAATATATTTTCTGACGGAAGAAATCAATGCGGGATTTAGCTCGAGCAGCCTGGGCACACAATATATTGTTTTGCGCTGATCCAGTCACTGGGGTACTAGAGCGTGAATTCAAGAGTTCGTCTAGTTGCCCCGTTGGCTTCCGAAGTGAACACTTGCTGTTGGTGTTATTGGATGAGGAATTAAGGATGACCGAAAATTGCAAAACATGAGGGGGAGGGGGGAACTACGACCTAGTCCGGAATCCAAAAGACAGCTGTCATTTGACGTGTTTGCGTTTCGTCAGTGGACTATGATGTGGTAGAATGCGGGCAGGAACATTAAATGTCAAGCTTAGGTCAAATTAGGTGAAAGGCTTGAGTGAACACCTTTTTCACGAAATTAAGATCCGGTTAGTCAGCGGATACATACAAAGGCAGAGTCAGTAGCCATACAGTTTTGTAACAAAAATGTAGAGTTTTCCCGAACGCAACCAAATGGCTGTCACCAGTACCGTCTTTCAGCATCACAGAAGACATCCGCTGACATGGTACTCTAACGACAGTTCTACAACCAGTTGCATTAGCTACACTCTATTCAGTTTAAAGTTCCGCAAGTAAGTTCGTGGTGATGGGTAATGCGAAAACTGGCAAGACCTGAAGGTTAGAATAAGTCCTCCTTCGCACACGACTGAAAGTCAACATCTCATCAGCGTAGAAATTTCTTATGTAATAAACTCTGGAATAACAAAACTATGATAGCGCAACATAAGCAAGTGTCTGAAAACAGAAATCCAGCATTAAATTGCAACCCGAGTCGAGAGCAAAAGCAGTATCAAATTGTGTGGTTATGCCCTCAGTTCGTGAAGCAAATGAGAGAATGCTTGGATTCACTCAGTAGCGCTACAATTACTGAAGCAGCTAAAGGATATTGCAGCTCTCTGGCCAAATGGTTCAAAACCTTCGCCAACTCTGGCAAATGACGTCAAAGATAACCACAAAATAAGTTGGAGTGACCAAGCGGTCCCGGAAGCAAACTCCCAATGTCGGTTACACTCTAAAGCTCCCCCAGCTTGTTATCTAAGTAAGTTGTAAACCCTCGGCACAAAGCGGCTCCGCTAGCGATGTCAGTGATAGCTTTGACGTTGACTTGAATAAGGTCGAACAGCGAGCACCTTCGAAGACTCTGCCATCATCTCGCCCTGTTGATAAAGTGGCCTCCCATGAGCCTCTAATCATATTTGTTTGTGCCTTCTCCGAAAGAAATCATCGATGCGGTACAGAGACTGAGCAACTACAAGGTATGCGGAGAGGACAGTACCTCTGCTGAAATTCATGAATTCCACAAAGGCATTCTGGTGCTCCAGGTCCGTGAACTGACTAAGCAGACATAGGCAAATGGACCCCTTCTTGTTGACTGGGGCTCAATTATCCTTCTGCGCCTCTCCCCAAGACGCGGGGTAGGGCAAATTTTAGGGACTACTGCGGTTAGATCTTACCCATTTTGTTGCAAAGGTCTTTACCATTGCCGTTTTCTGTGTGATTTCATTGTACACAACTCTAATACGAGACACAAAAAGCCGGGTTCATAGTCGGACGTAGACGTACTGACCAACAACATACACTAGAACGCGTCCATAAATGCCGCCATTATTAACAGCACACAACGGCTCTCTGCGCTTTTGACTGTGGATACTGGAATTAGAGGGCATACCCGCAACAACCTTTGCCGCAAATATCAGGGCCTGTTATCGTTCCGCCACTGTGGGAGTTCCGGTCGACGACAATCCACCCAATCATTTGAAGTTCGGCTCGATGTTTGACAACTGTAGTTTACCAATAATCTTGTTTGACTACACCATTGACTCAATAATTGGTAGAACCCTATGTAGTTTTCATGTTGTCGGAAATGCGCCCGGACACCGGTGAACGCCCTTAAACACGCTGACAATACCACCTTGTTACGATGACATGCGGAATTTCATGTCTCAGATAAATAAATTCAAAATATCAATACACCGGGAAGGCCAGTGTCTTTGAACTGAATTCTGGACGGAAGAAGACACCCTTCGGTATGAATTGATACAATCCGGATGGGGCCTGTCGTCTAGTAAACAGAGCGATGACGCGCCAAGTGCAGGTATAAGGTTTATTATGGTCCTAGATGGGCCGTCTGCAAGGGAATTATGGATAAAAAAGACACATGCTGATACTGCTGGCCGCTTCGTCCACAGTCTCTAAAGTGCTTCAAAGTTGTGCATTCCTTGCGCCCGATATACCAATGAGCGAACGTGCGACTACGGTGGGAGTTATGCGTGCATCGGGTGATAAAGAATAGCAAGTACGTTACAGGGGGGTTAAGTTAAAAGAATTCTAGTAATTCCGTATCTAAGGGGCGTCGTCCATGGAATCATTCAGATAAAACGCCGCACAGGTTGAAAACCTAAGTTCTACAAGACTGGAATTTATTGTTATCGCACTTGCGTTTCCGAAAAGGACCAAGCAACCCACGGCAATCTTCCTTGACCTCAAAACTTATGCATTTACTCGGTTTACTCTACATTTATTTGCAAGAGATCTGTCTTCCTATCGCCATAATTTTCCGTAAACTGTCCACTCGTAGCGACCACCTTCTCTGGAAGCAACAAATACCTAAAAATATATACGCCTGATGATTACTGTTCAGACTTCAAAGTTTCTAATTAGCGAATTGACAGGAACAAGCATAATCGTAAACTACCAAGGCAGGCACTTGATTTAAAAAAATATTTCCAAAAATAAACGCAACAGAAGACCGTGTGTGTCTTCGTTCAAGTAAGCGGATGCACATATGCAGTAGGTAAATAAAAAACGATTAACATACCGCTCCGCAAGCCGGAAGTTTGCGTTGGCCATAAAGGCCTTCAACTTCCATTATAAAGTCCCTAGAAAACTTTGCGGCCCCGGCATCGTAACCCGCTGCAAACTCCTCGAAGAGTCTTCTCTTGGCGGCTTGATGCATTGCCGCCAACATATCAGCAACCTTCCTGAATTTTTCCCAAGTCTCGAACTTGGAATGGTCTAAACATACGAGTTTTAAGATAAAGACACCTAAAACCTTGGTACATCTTCAAAGTAGCCTCCAGGGTTTTATGAAAGTGTCGCTCACTAGCTTGCCTTCGAACTTCGGCATCCTGTTTCAGACGCTGGCTAATAAGAAAGCACTCTTGGCAAAGTTTGTTGAAGGGTATGTGGAACCTCAGGCAATCAGAAGGAACATGTTTCCACTCTTTAGCCCTCAATCCGAACCTTTCTTCGCCCATACCAATGAATACTAGCTGCGATCTTTTATAAATCCGCCAGAGCCGTCAGAGAAGTTAAAGTATGCAAACATAGAGCTGAACGAGACTTCAGTTACTTTGCAGTTACCTTTCAAGGGAACATATGTGCTAAATATTTAACATATATATGTTATTCCCCTCCCAAGTAACATTTTCTAGAGCGTAGGCTAGGAATTTAATGATTATGCTCCCACGAGTTTGTGCAGACAATGTCATCCATATCTGAAAAAGTTGAATTCCTGAGCGCACAGTCGGGTCTGTTCCCGCATGTCCATGTTTTTGCTCTGACAGGACATCGCACACTGGGAAAATCATACTTTCCCTTTTTATATGGATTAGGTTTGAAGAATGGTATATGCTCGGAGGATATTCCAATATAATTTCTATAATTTTTATAATGTCTATAATTACCCTCCTTTTGGTTGTTGCTTCTTATCTCTGGAGATGAACTTATGTAAGAGTTTGAAAGCTCCGGACAATAAATCAATTGATCCGGTGCTTGACATGTCTTCTTCCTTATCCATGCAGATACCTGGAAATCGAACTTTTTCATTCATTCGGGGCTAATTTTTATAACTTATGTACGTAAGTCAAGCCCACTTCCCCACTGTTGCATGCACAAAACACCCCCACAATTTTAAAATGTTCCCTCTTATTGAAATTGCCAGAATGTTATGTCTTGGAATTGGAATTTTCCGCTGATATCCCGACCAAACCATAATGGAACGTAGTCAGTGAACTCAAAAAAATTCCCAGCTTGCTGGTCAATCTTGGGTGATGGAAATCCCTAGATTATGTGAATCTCCTTCTTTAATGGATTTTTTCTGTTCCATTCGAAGGAGGACAGCACACTCCTCAATTTCGTTTGGGAGACCGCATGAAATTACGAAACTTAGTAAGCGGACGTACTTACTGGGAATATGTTGGCAAAGATCCCATATATGGAATAGCCCAGTAAAAAAATCCCAGGACCGCTGGTACTAGGGTTTTTTATGGGTGGGGCCTATCAGTCGAATATAAAAGTAATTAAAATATTTGAGCGAACAAAAATAGAACATAATTGCAAGAATTATTTAAATAACTTAACGTTTGGCAAAAAAAGTGGGTGGTAATTAAAATGCGAAATACAATCAACCAATTTAAGCTATCCCTAATTGCAATATTCCGGAACCAAAGGCTAAAGTGGTTCCAGTGGAACCAAAGGTCCTACTTTGGTCCCACTGCGCCGTGATTGCCTATATGGGCGGTATTCCGTGCACTGGCCCGGGTAGTCTACAAGCTGT